GGACGATTTAATGTGGTACTTTCACCAGTATTTAAAACACATAAATTTATCTCGTCTAGCATGTCGTAGATCTGTGTTCCTCTAATTTGATTACTTTGACATCCAAATATAGTGTGATGTGCATTCATATCACCCATGACTAATACCGGAGAAGAAAGAGAAAGAATAATATTTTTTAATAATGTAACAGGGAATCGCCCTCTTCGAGGAGGACAATAACATCCTAAAATATTTAAGAACCCAGAATTTATTTCAACTTTAATTGCAACAGTTTGAATTTTATCATTTGATTGGGTGGTAACATTAGAACATTTTAAAAATTCTTTATAAAAGACGGCAACACCACCATGACCTTTGTTTACATTGTGATCCCAACGATATACTTTATAACCTCTAATATTTACTGTATCTGTATTTTTTAACCAAGTTTCATTTAAAATCAAGATGTCAATATTATGTTTAGCAAGTAAATGTGTGACTAAAGGAAGCTTTGGTCTTAAACTTTGTATATTATGTTGTACAATATTTAAGGAATCTATAATAACCTGATCCATTATAGATTGATGTTTTTAAGAAATACTTCTTTGATTGTAGAAGTATTAACAGGTAAGTTAGTGTCTTTTTTTGAAAGGGAAGTTAATGTTTGTACTAAAGCTGTTAAAATTAAATCGTTATTGATAACTTCTGAAATAAAATCTTTCTCTTTTCTCTTAGGTGTGTAACTTTGAGCTGCTTTAGCAAAACTCGAGTTCAGATTAGGAAAATGTGAACTTAGGGTACTGTTTTTGTTTATAATTTTTTCTTTATTTTCAAGTATTTTTTGAATTTTAACTGGACAAAGTCTGGAAACTGCGGTATGGTTTCCTTTACAATTTACACAGATAGGATTCTCAACATTAGTACATTCTTTATAATTATGACCTTCTGTACAAATTGAGCAAACCATATCTCATTTACAGAACTTTGTAGTGTGTCCAAATTTCATGCACTTATAACATTGCATTACAGGTTTTATATATGTTTCGACTTTAAATTTACATAGCTCGTACGTTACATATTCTGGCAAAATGTTACCTGCAAATGTTATAGAGACAGTCTGAAGTGGAATCATTCCACTATCGGACCGTTTCATAAATCGCCTCACTGAAAGTATTTCCTGTTGAGAAGATAATTTATTAAATAAATGTTTGTTACTGAGATCAGTGGGAACAAACTTTACAACACCAGTACATTCAGTTGTCGATGCGGGGATAAATGCTTTTAATTCTTGAACATTTAAAAAGGTTGAATCACGTAATAGTGAATTTGCATTTTTTGCATTGTCAAATATTACGGCATATTTTAGTGCATTTACTCGTCTCAATTCCTTGACTCCTTTTACATATCTACTGAATAAATTATTTAAGTAAACTGGACTTTTATTACCAAATTTAACCTCTTCTTTAATGCTTTGTATAAATACAGTAAATGTTGTGTTTGGTGAATTTTCTTGATAACTCCTTATATAATTAGGTTTTAAATAAGGCGCATAAAATGTAGGGTCCTCATCTTTATCTGAATTTTCCTCTTCATGTGGTAGTGGTAAAGTAGCTTCTTTCTTCCTTTTATTTGGTGGTGGTTTAGCAGGAGAATTTCTCATCCCTTTTTTGTTTTGGGTGCCGCCACTGTCAGCACCCATTTTTATCGCACAAAAACGGGGCTAGGATTTAATTAACTCTATAAATTATTTAATATCAAAAGACTGTAGAAAAAATGAACTTCCCGCCTCAAAGTTCCCCAACCCAGAAAAACAGAACCAAAAAAAAAAAAAATTACTACACCCACAGATTAAGAATGACAACTGTGCATGTGTGTCATTTTGTTTTTTTTTTTTTATTAAGTATTTTACGGCCCTTGATGTGTCTTCCTGACTCAGTGTGTTGCCAGATGACTAGTATTCCCTCAAATTTGACCAATATTACTTTAAATTTGAAATTTGTAACAAAAATTCTACATGCATTTGTAGGCGTATATTCAACATTATTCATATTATTAACCGGGCCTGCTTGAATTTATTTGTGACTGGATTCCACACGGATGATAATTTTAAGCCAGCCTCTCTGTTGAAATTGGTATATTTTTAATTTCAATCGCCTTCCGGACCATTCGTGGATAATAGTGGCGATCAGTAGAGAACCTTAGGCATATGTAGTTCAATCCAGTGATTTGTTCCAGCGTTCAGTATATGATTGGCAATCGCTGATTTGTGTGGTTGTCGATTTTTAACAGCTGCGATGTGCTCTTTGACCCTTTCAGCTATTGATCGTTTCGTTTGGTCAATATAACAGCTATCACAACTACAGTCAATTTTGTAGACACCTGGAACTTCGTAAAGCAACTTATCCTTTGGTGAAAATTGTTCGTTACTTTTGAGGGCGGATAATATAGTCTTAATGGAGTATTTATTTAGTGCTGTTTCAATTTTGTCCGTTATTCCTCTTAAGTAAGTCATGTACGCTGGTTGTCTATTCACTTCCGGTGTTTTAGCTTTTGTTACGCGCTTATTTTGCCTTCTACTCATTATGTACCCGTTTCTCTTGAGCACTTCTTGAACGTGGGATAGTTCTTCTTCCACATTCAGGGGCACAGAGATCTTGCGCTCTGTTTGTGAAAGTAGTGATGACTGATATCCAACACTTCAATAGGCAATTAGCAGCTCTGTTGAATTTTTAATTACTCTTTTTAGACAATTTTTCTTGTTATTTTCTATATATTATGATGGTTTCTAGTAAATTCTACATTTCTTCTTCGCTTTAGCTCGCAACGAATTTTTTTAATGTTGTACATATTTAGAAAACCGATTTAGTACAGATCGATTTTTGCCACACGAAATCTATTAGAAACAAATTTTATTTCCCTTGAATTTGTCTAATCTTTTCAAAGTAATTTATTAAGGTTTATGTAAATTAAAAAAAAACACGAAGATGAAAAAGAAAATGCATTTTATGTTTATGGGATCTAGGAGTGTTCAATAAAAATCACGTTTATTTGTAGGTATATAATTTAATATTCAATGTCAATTTTCTAAACTAAAATTGAAAAAAAAAACACGGGGACAAATTACATTTAGTAGGTTATTAAGTTCGCATAGTCATAATAAATCATAGCGTACCATTGGGCACATATTAGTTTTCTCTAAGAAGATTTTATACTCAAATTTGTCGACTACGATTTGGACATTGTAAATTCAATGCACATTTACACCGAATGAAGATCATTAATTCTCCGATTTGTCTTTTATGCTCTAGTAACGAAAATCAAACATTAGAACATATATTTTTTGATTGCCCGGCCTTCAATTTAAACAGAATTTTGCTCATTGCTAAGCTTCAAGAACTATATAAGATTATTCCGCCATCGCTTCAAGAATTATTCAAATGCACTGCAACTTTTAAACCAATTTACGACTTCATCATAGCAACAATCGGAGAATTATAAACATTTCAATTATGGACACATACATGGACTTAACACAAACTTATAATTAATGAAAAGATTTGGCGATATCGCCTTGAAAAATTTTTGAATTTTCATGGAAATACTACTGAAGATTAGGCTGTATGGTCTCGTACCTTTGTCTATCCACTTGTGGATAAAATATACCACTACTACTATTAGTTTTCTCTAAAATCTAAAGAAGGTACTTAATAGCCATACAGTTTTTATAAAGTAGTTTAGCATAACTTTAACAAAAAACTGAGTTTTTCAAAAAATATCTTTACTAATGAGCTAAGTACCTACAATTTATTTAACAAGTGATAAACAAGATACAAGGAAAAAGAACAAAACAAGGATTAACAATTTGATTACTAAAAGTCATGGAAATCACAGGCATTGTGTGTGTATTAATGGAATATTTATATTCTTCGGAATGTCTTTGGTACCTACCCCTAATGCTTTGTAACTCTGGAGGATTAAGATGTTTCACTGCAAATCAATAAAATCAATAGTTTTTTTGACACATTTCATAAAATTTTATTAAATAAAACTAATGCTACTATAACCGAGACCGTATTCATAACACGCTTCCGGTTAGATAATTATTATAAATTAAGTACATAAATTCATTGACTATCGTCAAAGTTATTAACGTTATTAAGTATAGGTAATAATTCACGACGGCTGAGTTACCTTATATATTATAAAGTTTAGTAATGACTCAATACGATAGGAATCAACGATATGGGTGTCTTTGATAAAATCGCCACAAAAGTCAATTAGAACGGAAACTGGTTCAGACAGGACGAATGGCAACATGAAAGTTTTCCGACAACGAAATGACTCGAATTATCGTACATTGATCGAAATACCAAATTACTGGCATCGGTCTAAAGATTATGCCTGCAATACAGTTAATAAAATCTATTTAACCTGATTTCTGAACATTGCGGCATTATACTCTATAATGGAGCAATGTTCAGAAATCAGGTGAATTATAAAAACTCGCTTTACAAGTCATCAACAGGATACGTTTCCTGCATATCTTATGACTTTACTGTATTGGCCCTCGGCCTAATAACACCCTGGAAAATACAAAGTTATTCTAATGATTAAACTAGTTTAAAGCGGGATATATAACTTTCCTGATGCGGTTTGTTTATACCAAAGGATATTAACACTAAATAATATATCTTATACATTTGAAAGGTGGACTGACAGCCTCATCATGTATGCTTAGTATAACAATATGCCGTGCCTAATGCTTAATCACTGATAATTAATAGGTACCTAGATAAGGCCTCGTACTGTCGTGAGCTCTTTAGCAACATCCAAAATTAGTAAAAAAAAACGTGATTAATACTGAATTTTACAGTAAATACTTAGTAAATACATTTTTTTACTCCATAATTTCTCTAATACATTTAGACTTTTTTAAGAACTATAATTTTATATTATAACACATCTATACAAATAAAGAGATTTGCTGTGATTGTATTCTATTGTACTGTATCAACTACAGTCTAAATGCCTGGGAAAGGAAATTTTGAAGGGGGCATACAGATAATTTAAGAGGTTTCACTATATACACGGTTCATTAAAAAGAAACATAACAATTCTCATTTGTGATCTCAAAACAGAGGCAAATTAACTGGATATAATTTACATATTAACACAATTAGGGCCGTATAATATATGTAAAAATTCATGTATTACACAAAAGTCAAATTTACATAAATTATTATTTGAAATCCAATCACTATATTCATAGTAAAACACAAACATACTCAATATGAGACATAACGACAAAATTTCTCACATAAAAAGGAAAAATAAAAAAATTAAAATCATTATAGAATTGGTCATATACTGAATGTATAAATCATCATATGTTTTCTGATAGTAATAACGAGCCTATTGCTCCAAATATACTTTCGCGCTTTACTGATTCTATTAAACGGTGATCTACTGAAAACCTCTTAATGCGTTTATAAACTTATATTAAAAAACAGCATATCCTGAGCTGCGTTTTTAAAAAATAGCTACAATATATTGTAATCTAGATAGATGTAGTTTCTTAAATGTCAATAAATATTTATTGACATTTTGTTTCTTAAAATACTTAGTTGTAATTTAAGCGTTGCAGGCGGTTTCTTTATCTGGATTGTAAAGCTGGTCAGAAGGGTCCACTTTCTTCCAGTTGAGAGACTTAGACATTGTCGCCACTGGTTCCTGTAAAGATAAAATTAATAATAAAATAGTTACTCACTAAACTATCTGCCTACCCCATAATAATGTGTAGCGAAGACAGGTCGCTAGATATATACCGCTGGTAGGATCATGGTGCTTTTTTAGACATATAAATCTTTCAGAAAAGGGAAAGAGATTGTTTTTTTAATGGGGGATTTCGGCTATTGTCAGGTGCTATGACCTGTAACACTGCGACTTGTATAGATCTATTGTGCTCATCCTTATTCAAAGTGCGGTACTTAGACCGTAAGGGACAAGAATTTAAGACTATTCTTAGGAGCGATGGTTTTTATCTCCTCAGGATATAGTGTATACTTTCCAAAGGAGATATTTCGTTCATGCAAAAGAGGGCTACAACCACATAGGATGTGCAGTAGCGTATCATCTTCTGCTTGGTAAAAATCTGCAGATTGGGATTGTTAGTAATATGGACTTTTGACGCTATTGCTAACAATGTATTTGTAATTGTAACACATGTCAGGTTGATCTCCATGTGGTTTCCCCTGGAAAACTACTTGACAAACTTATGGTAACTGTTACCACTTCATTATCATCCATTAAAATATCTTCCGAAAACGGAAACGAAGGAATTCCTATCAAAATCTGTTGCGTGGTTTAGAATTAAGAAGAGAAAATAGAATTATCTATCAGAGCAATTTTTCTTAATATGACAAATAGTGTTGTATTTTTTCTGCAATTGAAATTTAGATAGATAGATAGATAAATGGCAAACAAATTAAAGGACATCCTGATGGTAATAGCTTGTACACATATATAGCATCACGTTATCATATACCCCCATTTCCATTCAAAACGACTAAGATGTTATTCCTCTTATCCTGCAACTTGTAAATTCTACTGAATTCAAAGACTAAAGAAAATTACTATCTATCTACTACTATCTTGTATCCACGGTAGTTAAAAATGGTCACGCTACAAAGTAAATATAAATCACGCGTGTTGAATTCTGATAAGACGGTTTTAACGAGATTTCAAGTAATATAAATAAAAATGTGCCAGTTTTATACAAAGTAATTGATATAATATCCAATATAAGTACATAATCAGAAGATTCAATAATATATCTTATCATTATATGGACTTTGTGTGTTGAAGGATAATTAACGATATTGATTTATTGCATTAATATTAAGTCAATGACCAATTAATTAAATTGAATTATATATTACAACATTTAATCACATTGGTTTATTTTTTATTAATATAATCAATCATATCCCTGAACAATACACAAAGCCCCATTTAGTCCCAAGGTAAGCAGAGCTTGTGTTATGGGTACTAGATAACCGATATAAACACTTAAGAAACTTTTTTTGTAAATACATACATAATATAAACAGAAAACACCCAGACTGATACAAACAATCATACTCATGAATACAAATGCTTGTACCGTGCGAGAATTCGAACCCGTGACCATCTGAAGTAAAGCGGTGTGCTAAACCGCTAGACTACCGAGGATGTCAAATATAATAATATTGTTATAAACACATCACATGATATATATAGCACCTATCTAAATTATTTTTCTCCCTGAATACCTAGTAAGTAGAGTATTTTTGTTGTCATTCACAACATTTGATATGATAAGAATGTTATCTGATTGACGATAATAATATCCATACTTGATAAAAATACTTTACAAAACAAAATACTAATTAATCACTAATTCCTGCGCACCTATAACAATTATTATATATATTTAATCGAATTAGGGGTTATTTTGCGTAAGTCCAATTCTAACTACTTTTTAAGGGATTTATTTATTATTTTGTTTAATTCGGCTACGGATATAGCTTGGAAGAAGAAGTTGACTCTTCAGCTCGGTTTGGTCGCCGAGGAGTCAACATTAGGTTTCCAAGCTATATTTGAGCTCTATTTGAAGCCTGATAATGCCTCGTTCAGAGGCGAAACACGTGTCGCAATACAGGCGCAGACTCAATAACGGTCGGAATTTGATCGCCATTAGAGAAGATCGTAACGGTAGTCCAGTTTCCACACCGAATTTGTGGTCTCACACATGCTATTATAATTGTTGCGGAATTAAACAAAATATTATAAATCCATCAAGCAGTAAATATTATATTACTGAAAAGGTTGTTTGTTTGTGTAGTAATTATTATCAGCTCTGGAACTACTAATCTAATTATTATTTTGGTGTTGGATTGCCCATTTAACTCGGAAGGCTATAGGCTATATAACACGCTATGAATATGCTCAGCACCCCAAACAGATGAGCATAAATGAAAAATGTTAGAAAACGGGGAAATTACATACTTTCCAAAGCAGATGAATTTGCACGAGTTGGTTTAGAGTGCCTATCAATACCGTTTCTTTGAGAACAAGTTGTTATTCTGTCACAAGAAATAACGCAAAATATAACAAATGCTAATTAGCTAACATTTGTAAAATAATTTAAGTGTAACATCTAATGAAGTTAACATGTTATCAGTTGATTATCGGTAAATAGATTAAGTGTGAAGTGTATATAACATGCACTGCTTTTAAAGTAAAACTGAGATAACATATTGAATACTACTTATGTTTTAAACAAAGTATTATATCATTAAGTCTACAGATTTAAAAATGCAGGTTCTCAAATATCATTTTCAGCCTCTATATATTAGGAGACATTGAATTAAAAATGAATGATAAAAACGAGTTCCAAATTTAAATAATTCCTTTTTAATTGGAAGAGGCTGCTACTATGGTAATCTCAGTCTAAATTGTTATATGTTGTATGTTGTTCAGAACAGCAACATTCAGAACATAGACAACTTTGCAAACATTTTATTTTACATATAGTCATGTTTATAACATGTAAATATGTCATGATAATATGATGGACATATGAATCAAGGATTACATAAGAATTTTGTTATCAAAAAGCAATATTTATTTAGTTTATTGGTATTTTTTTACTTGGTGAAAAGGAAAATATGCTAAAACATTGAACTTTTTAAGTACATTTGGTGCACATAAAGAATATGTTCAGACAGGATTGCTCTGATACATTATATATACCATGTTACTATAATTAGTGTCAAAAATATTCAATTCAAAAGAAAGAGCACTACAGCCCAGTATCTTGCTGTAACAAAAAGCTGTGAGGAATTGACTGAATGAAATTGTACAGAGACAGGTTGTGACCTGCCAGATTAACACTTATTACTTTTACAAGTAACTCATGGGGGAATACACATAGTATAGTTAGTTTATAATATTAACAAAATATAACACTTGTCCTACATACCTTTGAAATAAGTTTTCCATCATCTCCAATCATAAACTCTTCCAGACGAAAAACTAATGGTGATGCATTTCCAAGGTGGAATATTCTAGAGGAAGTGCCTCGTGTAACTCTGAACTCTATAGTTTTGGCCATGAGTACATCTGTGACCATGTAAACTGACTTCTTACCTTTCAAGTCTGAAACAAAATTACCACACCATAAAACATTTAGTTAACAACTCAGTCAGAGTTAAAGCTAGTGCAATTTATTAAATCCATTTTCTATAGTACACATATAGTAGAAGTATTCTATAAAACTTGTATCAATATGAGATTTTCAGTTTAATCTAAATTTCTCAAGAACAAATTATTTATATTTATGTGTACCTAGACAAAAAGGTTTAGAAATTACTATACTTTATATAATGTTATGATTTAATTCACGATAAAAGTTTTTTTTATTTTGCACTTGCTTCTAATTTAAACATACCTTTATTGTTCTCCACATCCAAATATATATTATTGACCAACTCTCTTATTGTTGGGATTGAAGTATGTGTGAAGTTTACCATAATCACTCTCACTTTATTTTTGTTCGTCTCATCTTGCAATGTTATCTGATGAATTAAAAAGAAAAACAATATGATATTCATAGTTCCAATTTCAAAATTTTCATCAGCAATTGTAAAAAAATAACATATCCAAAACTTACAAGAATAAGTCAGGTATACAGTATGTATTTCTCTAAATAAATGTATCAGTTTCAATAGAGTAGCACATACATAATTTTCATGAGTTAGCAGTACTCATTTTATGAATAATTACTTTATATATACAACTATTTTTACATATATTAGTCCAGTAAGTAAATTGAGATTGTAAACACACAATACAATATAAAAACTATATTATAGTTGTCTTTTATAATTTGTTATGTCAGCAAGCAATGTTATTTATATTTTGATTACATTACATGAAGAATGACAGCTGTTTATAAAATATTCAGAATGCTATATTGGTATATAATTTGCTTCAATGTCAGATAATAAGAATTTCCCAGGCAATTCTTTGAAAACATCTATATGGGAAGTAGAACCAATGTAATAATATATCATAGAAAACAGTCCTATGTTTGCTAGAGTCAAGGTTGTTTCAATGTCAACTTTTGGAATTAGTAAATAAAAATGAGTCAATCTAGTAATATATTACTGGTGGTGGGATATTCTACTTAAATGATTGACTACAATACTACCAAAACTAAGTAGCTACTAAAAACGTAATAAATAGTAATAAAATATACCTTGACGCTCTCGTGTGGAAATTTAAAGTCTGGATCGTTAAAATCGCCTTCTTCCAGCCATTTCAAGTAGTCTTTATTTGATTTCTCCGTATTAACATGTTTAATTAGTTGCCCCAGTGGTGTGAACACTTTACTATTTATTTCTTTTTCATTTTGTACAAACAAAGATGTCGTTTCATATAATACTGCTTCTGTTATATGCGGAATACAAATCAGCTTACTACTTCCTATTTCTACTTCAATTTCGTCTCTAATAAATGGCCAGGCTTCTTCGAGTCTCAGAGATTTAAGATTATCCAAACTTACATCTTTGCGTATTTCATGTGAATACAATGATTTTACTACAACTTTAAGCTTTTTGGGCATATTTGATAAATTAAATGTTGGGTTACAATATTTAGTAATAAACAAATTAAAGAGAAATACGAACAAACGAATTAATACACACAATTAGACCTGCAAACAACAAGCTCTTTTATTTTGTTAAAATTTATGTACCGTGAATACTACCATTAAAACAACGCGTTACGCAGTGAATGAATGAATAAAATCAAATCAGAATTACTGTCACATATGTGTCAACCATGCTAATAGTTTGACAATGATAGCTATCCAGATAGATTAATAAAAATATAGATTATTCAAATCGATACATAGTTTTTGTTATAAACTCTTTAGTTTTAATAAAATATATGATGTGTAACTTGACGTAGATTGTCATCTATGAATTCAATAAACTGTTACTACTAACTATTAATCCTTATTTTAATTTATAAAATGTTGGCGACGAGGACATAAAATGGATAAAGAACAATTTGAACAGTTCCTGCAATTACAACGCACACAACATGATCAATTAACTGAAGTAATAAAACTTCTAGCTACAACAACTACGCAACATGCACATTGCCCCACGGAGACGCCTGTGGTGGCTTCGAACAGCCAGGATACGCCCTGCACACCTATTTCTAGCACATCAGGTATTCACAAATTATCAATATTGAATAATTTCAAATGTGAAAAATTTAACCCGTCAACGACTACGGTTGAAAATTTCTTCGATTACTTTGAAATAAAATGCGAAATATTAGACGACAACATAAACAACGGGGTTAAAAAAGACCTATTATTTAACTGTTTAACACCGGAAGTTTTCCATGAAATTAAAGTAGCACTTATACCTCATTTTGAATCGAGCACTTATGATGCTATTAAACAGAAATTAATGGACTTATACCGCACTAAGAAAACCAGATATCGAGCACTATCTGAATTCTGGAATTGTATACGACAGGATGATGAATCAATGGAACACTATGCAAATAGACTAAAAGAATTAAGCAAAGATTGTGGGTATAACGACACACTACTAGAACGACAACTTCGTGACCGCTTTGCTACTGGTCTTAACCATACACAACTTGAAATAGATTTAAAACAAAAATGGCCGGATCTCGTAGAAAACTTTCAGGACACAACAAAGGAAATAACATTTGCGCAAATATTTGCAGTCGCACAATCACGTGAGTTAGCGGAAGGGGATCAAAATAAAAAAATAATCGGCATTTACAACGTTAACAAAAAAAAGAATAATTATACTGGTCAAAAACAAAGACGACTAAGCCCTGGTCAATGTCGTCGTTGCGGAAAGAGAGAGAAACATGGAATAAATGAATGTCCAGCTAAAGATAACACTTGCAAAGAATGCAATTACAAAGGACATTTTGACAGCTGCTGTATAAAAACAGGTAGAGCATACTTAACCTACGAAAGTAAACAGGAACATAAAGGCAATAAAAGGTTACACAAAATTGAAAGAAGCTATTCCCCACGAAGCAACAGCTATACGTCAAGGAGCTCAGACCGTAGCGATGACGACACGGAGGATGAACATCATTCCGTGTATAAAATTCAAAATAAATGTGATAAAGACAGTAAAAAAATTGACGCTATGATCAACGGAAAGTCATGCACAATGGATTGGGACTCAGGATCTCTTTATTCTATCATCAGCGCCGACTTCTGGAAGCAGATAGGATCTCCTCCGTTAGGCGATGCACCGCGACTACGAGCTTATGGAAATTTAAAACTTAAATCACTGGGTTTGACAGACGTAACAGTAAAAATACAGGATAAAGAAAGGATTTTGCCAGTAATAGTTATGAAGAAAGCTGATCCTATGCTCTTTGGTCTACAATGGAGTGAAATGTTTGAAATGGAATTTCCCAAACCTGTCTATACAATACGTACACTACAACAACCTACGACCCTTAATCAAGTTTTAAATACGTACAAAACACTATTCGATGATCGTCTTGGCAAAGTAAAGAATTACGAAGTTAATATTCATATTAGGCCTGGTACACAGCCAAAACATCTCCCTCCAAGACCTGTTAAATTCTCTATGAAAAGAAATATTGAATCTGAATTGAAACGACTGGTAGACACTGGAATAGTAACTGAAGTCGATCCTAATATAACACCCGTTGAATGGGCAACACCCACAGTTAATGTCGTAAAGACAAATGGACAAGTTCGAATATGTGGTGATTATAGAAGCACTATTAATTCCGTTCTTATAACACATGCACATCCAATACCACTGTTTGATCAATTACGACAAAAATTAGCAGATGGTGAGAAATTTACCAAAATAGATTTAAAAGATGCCTATTTACAGTTTCCAATTGCAGCTGACTCAAAAAAATACCTTACCATTACAACTCATAAAGGATATTTCCAATATAATAGAATGCCGTTTGGAATCTCGACAGCTCCATCTATATTTCAACATTTTCTTGACAAACTACTTGATAATATTCCAAATGTTGCAGTATATTTTGATGATATCGCTATAACCGGTAAAAATGATTTGGATCACCTTAGAACACTATCAGTAGTACTTGGAAAGCTGGAACAAGCTGGTCTTAAAGTAAATTTAAAAAAATGTACTTTCTTTCAAAAAGAAATTGAATACCTTGGACACACTATAGACAAAAGTGGTATACGTCCTACGAAATCAAAATTAGAAGCTATTTTGAAAACACCGTCTCCGAGTAACCCACAAGAACTTAGATCTTTCTTAGGATTAGTTAATTTTTACGAACGTTTCATACCACATTTACATAGCATATGCGCAGATTTACATACCCTAACTGGAAATCGCCGTAAATGGCAGTGGACAGAAAAAGAAGATACAATATTTAGTAAAGCAAAAAAATTAATCACCCTTTCTAAACCTCTTGCTGCTTTTAATGAAAATTTGCCATTGTTTTTAGCTTGTGATGCATCTGAGAAAGGTGTTGGCGCTGTTTTGTATCATAAAACCAACGATACTGTACAACCAATTGCTTTTGCATCACGAAAACTTAAACAGGCAGAAGTTAAGTATTCAGTTATTGATAGAGAGGCACTTGCGATCTTCTTTGGTATTAAAAAATTTGATCAATATATACGCGGCGGGAAATTTACTTTAGTTACTGATCATAAACCTTTAATACATTTACTAGGGACTCGGCGTAACTTACCTAAGTTATGCAACAATCGACTAGTCCGTTGGGCTCTTTTGATCGGTAGTTACAACTATGATGTCACATATACAAAAGGCAAACTGAATGTCATGGCTGACTATCTATCGCGAATGCCTAATCCATATGAAAAACCATCGACTGCTGAAGAAATAGTTCGCAAAATAGTGACACGCCACCAATCAGACAAATTGCATGATCTACCTATATCCGAAGAAACTCTCAGAGGCGAAGTAAAAAAAGATCCTATTTTGAAAAAGGTCACTGAATTCCTAAAGACTGGATGGCGTTTAGATGGTTTGTCAGAAGACTTGCGGCCATATTCACGAAAACGTTGTGAATTATCATTAGAAGATAAGATCCTGATGTGGCAAGGTCGAATCGTAGTTCCATATTCACTAAGAAGATCTATAATGAAATTCCTTCACAATGGACATCCGGGGATATCTGCCATGAAAGCACTGGCCCGTTTTTATGTGTGGTGGCCGTCAATCGATGATGACCTTGATATGTGGGTAAAGAGATGTTCTAAGTGCCAAGAAAATCGCCCTAACGTGGCGGAGCTGCCGGTGTACTCGTGGTCTGTGCCTGATGAGCCATGGGAGAGAGTTCACGTGGATTTTGCGGGTCCTTTTGAGGGCAAATATTGGTTGGTGCTATGTGACGCACTTTCCAAATGGATCGAAATTAAACCAATATCTACAATCACAACAAGCAGGCTCTGCAGTGAACTAGATACTATTTTTACTTCACTTGGACTTCCACAAATTATAGTTTCGGACAATGGTCCTCAATTCGCATCTCAAGAATTTCATGAATACTGCAGATACAATGGTATCAGACACGTTAAGTCTTCACCTTACCATCCAAGAACGAACGGGTTGGCTGAACGGCTAGTTCGTACTTTCAAAACCAGGATGTCTGCTAGTATTAGTGACGGATTAAGTTTAAAAAAACGTTTGGAAAACTTTCTGTTTACTTACCGTATTACTCCTCGAATCGATACTGGTAAATCACCAGCAGAAATACTTTTAGGACGACAACTACGTTGCCTCTTAGACAATATTAAACCAAATCCTAGAATGTCCCTCCGCTTCAAACAATTTCAAGCTAACATTGAACATGACAAGGAAATATATTTCAATCCAGGAGAAACTGTTTTTGTATGCTCTCGAGACAATAAATCATGGAAGCCTGCCACAGTAGCCCGTCGTACACATCGTTATTCATATTTAATTAATACACCTATTGGGGTAAAGAAATACCATGCGGATCAAATAAGAAAACGTGTAATTGAAAGAGAGGATGTTCCGTTAAATCAGTCCTGTAATGCCCATACCCAAGATGTCCAGAATATGCAACACAATACACCAATATCTCCTCAAAGAGACAGGGAAATATCATTAGAGACTGCTCCTTTAGAGTTTAGAGACCAAATCGAGACTTTGGCTACTGCGTGTAATAATGAAACACCGAAACATTCGAGTGTATTAGCACCCAATTCAAATGACGTGGGTAGACATATTGAAAAACCAGCAGTTGAGGGGTTACGTCGTAGTAAGCGCGAAGTCAAGCCACCAAGACGTCTAATTACAGAACTGTCATAATTTGATGGACTCGCATGGTAACGAGTCTTTTGTTAGGGATGGACGAATGTTATAAACTCTTTAGTTTTAATAAAATATATGATGTGTAACTTGACGTAGATTGTCATCTATGAATTCAATAAACTGTTACTACTAACTATTAATCCTTATTTTAATTTATAAAAGTTTTGAATCGAATCAGTGTATGGATATTTCACGCAAAAGAATCTATTATAGATTCGTTTTTTTGTGTTGATAACTTAAAAATATTTTCAAATACATTCATATAAGTAAAATACTTTTATTAATTTTTGTTCTTCAACTTACGGTGATTCCGTGTTCCTTCATAGATCATAATAAATGATAAATAAAAAAGGAATGTATTGTTGACAAACTAACTACCAACCTATAGCAATGTACCATATCAGGTCGACCTCCACGCGGTTCCCTCTGGAAAGCATCGTGATAAATTCTTGGTGGATTGACAGTTTGGTACCCCGCCAGCGTAAACCGTTAGCGCAGGAGGGTGCATCATTCCATTATTATCTATAAAAAAAAACTGCCAACCTATACTTCGCTCATATTGTTATTGCGAACTATTGTGTCTTATTTTTATATTAATAGTGAAATCGATATCGATTCTCCATAAATTCATTAAGATTACAAACTCCAAAGAAAATTGTTTTCTGCGACAATGTTATTTTGTACTACGATTATTTTTTTAATCTATTCAGTACTATTTATAAATCTATTTTTCTATAGTCGACTAATATTCCACAATCGCAATCTTAGACTCAACCAAGGGTGGTATTGGAAAAACGAAAAAATAAGATGGTTCACAATGAATAGATTTTCACATCCCTAGTGACATAGGGATGTGAAAATAAAATCATTGTCTTTGTACCATTGCCATTCCATTTTGTTTTATCCATGGCACTAAAAATAGGACGATAAATCTTGATTTAGATTTTTATAAACTATGTTTGGAGAGTCTAAGGTTTGGAGCATAAATCTTTAAAGATATATAATCTGTCACAATCCCACAGAACTAAGAGAACTAAGAGGTACTTATTTTGTTGTGTTCTATTCAAGTAAAAACCGGAATAATGAGAAGGCGCGAGTTTTAAAGATTATACAGATAATGTGTTTATCTATCCAAATTGCATTTATTTGGATGTATTATAAACAAAGATCATGAATACTATGTATTGTTAATGTCGCACACTTAATACAATTTCCAAAAACTACAAATTTTGGAAATTCTATACTGCAGTAATAAATTTGATTAAAAAAAATGTGATAGGTATCCGATTTAAAGCTGTGTTGTATTAGGTGTGTGATATTGTTGTTATAACATTTTCTATACTATTAAATGCTTAAGAGATTAACAGATGTCATGGTCATGCAAAGAAACAAGTAAATAGGTATAATGAATACAAAATTTAATTGCAGAAATTCTTAAGAACTATATTATTGTTAAGCTGGAATTAATGAGATTAAACAACAGTAATTAAGTATGTTTAAAATTAAATAAAGCTATTATAGTAAAAACTTAAATTAGGATAATAAATATATGTATGTTCACTTCAAACTCGATAATGATGTATTGTTGTATATTGTTTTAATTATATAGAGCATATAACAAAAATAATCAATTATGCATGATATCATCATACATCATTTAAACATATTACAACATATCCAAACTAGAACAAAAACTGTGAATAGTATTATTTTTATTGTCTTTAATATACAATTTTATTTGTTTTCTCGAATAGGTGAATAAAAATGGAATGTAAATTATGAATAATGAAATAGAACATTCAATATATCACCATTTAAGTAGAATTTCTTTATATTATATAATTTTTCAATATAGCTATATTCATATAAATATATATATATAATATACAGTGCACTAGCAATGTTCACTCTATAAACAATAATTTCTGTACAATTTCAAGAATTTCTCTTATAGCACAGTCCACAAATATAAATTATATTATTTGAAAATATAGCTATAGCTGAATGCATTCAACGGGGGAGACAACTTACAGACAACTTGCTTGTAGTAAAATAATCTAATAGTGATAATAACCATACCAATACTATAATTGTGAGTTTATAATTATTTGGAATTTTGTTACTCAATCAAGCTTCAAAGCCTCAATGGATTTGAATGCCGTATAGGTAATATTGTAGATAAATATGATACTTTACATACCAACCAGTGTGACATTGAGCATAACTTTGTAATCACTGTAAAATCATGTTTCTATCAAACTACATGTATGAGACAAGAATATAAAAAACAACACATCAAAATATCTATGCTGTCTTCCCAATTGAATTGAAATAATTATTATAAGTATTATAATACCAGTGCTTTTAAAGCTAAGCCTCTTTACATTACATAAATCCTGGCAGTTTAATAAAATAAAATAAATTATCCTATTAAATATGTGCCATTGTTTGCTTTACTTCTTATGAACATTAGGTGTGGTAGACTGAAATACTGATGATGCTGACATTAAGTTCTCTATATATTGGCCCAGTACTTGATTTTCTGACCGTAGTTTCAAATTTTCTTCCTTCACTGAATCCACTCTTTGTGAAAGATCTGAAAAACAAAAACAAAATATAATTATTACAACAGAATAGCTTTTTAATTTTAATGTGTTAAATGAATATTTGGTTGCCTTCGCCAGTTATTCTTTATTAATTAAAATTTATAGAACCTGAGGTAAAGTTGAAAATATTGAACAACATCTTACAAACCCTAATACTCATATGGGAGTGATGGAACTGTTAATAATCAGGACTAGTAGGCTCATTGACCTACATATAGATCTTTAGCGCAAGCAAGTGCACCATTAAATATTCATTACTTAATAAAACTTATTAATTACATGCTCAGTTATGCAGTCTATTGATAAATAACAAAATGTATGTCTATGAATGATACACAGCGATAATTCTTCTATTTGTCATGTAGTGGAAAAAATCAAACTATACTGTATACAAAACATGTGTACACAATAAATGAATGTGTGTAAAAAATTATGTGTACTATAACTATATATAACTAAAGTCAAAAATTATATCAAACAAACACACAATATAGACTACAACTATTTCAGAACCTTATAAAATAAGGAAAAAATAATCTTTCAACTTATGCCATACCATCCAAAGTATTTTGTAGTTCCAAAACCTGTGAAATTAATCTAGCCTTCTCTTCTTGTTCATCTATTCCTGAATCTGGTTCAAAACTGGGCGGTCCATTTAGGCCAGGGCTAGACGAGCCTCCCGTGTAGGAACTAGGTAAAGAGTCCATAGAACGACCGTGATCTAGATGCATATGGTTGTTTTCTACATCGTCTGTAATTATTACTTGTGGATCGTCGTCCGCTAAGGGTATATTATCATCACTACACTTTTGCATAATTGAAGACATATATATTTCCAAAACGATTAGAACAAAACTAAATAGATGATACTATGGATTTTAATAACGAATATAAACTTTATTCTCTCTTGGAACAATGTAACACAGATTTAACCAAATAAACAAAATCAATATGCTGAGTCGAATATTTGTGTTGACGTTGACAACTTCAATAATCAATCGTTCACTGAGTCAAACAGTTCAAAAATTTAATAAAAATTAAACTGTTAATTGAATTTTATATATATTGTAATTTTTTATTACTAATGCCCTTGGAGTAATATTATATAAGAATATGAAACATGGAAATAGTACAGTCTCTAATAAACAATGAAAAGATATCACTGTAAAGAATTTAGAATATCAATATAAAAATTACTGAGAATTAGGCTGTATGATCTTGTACATTTGCCTAAACACATGTGGATAAGATATACAATTATATATTATACTAGCTGTCCCGGCAAGCGTTGTTTTGCCATCAAGTAAAAAAAAAATTTAGGGGTAGACTACCCCTAACATTTAGGAGGATGAAAAATAGATGTTGGCCGATTCTTAGACCTACTCAATACGCTCACAAAATTTCATGAGAATCGGTCAAGCCGTTTCGGAGGAGTATAGGAACGAAAACTGTGACACGAGAATTTTACATAAGGTATACATATATATTATTATTATAGTATGTAATATTATGTTATCTGTACTATTAGTGTAATTTCTATGATCTGTTATGAACTGTCTTCGTCACAGAACACCAATAAATGTCATTGTCAATCAATTTCATCTGTCATTTGGATTTACGATTTCGTTTCTGGTATATTTTTATGAAATTCAACTGATTAAATATTGGCATGATAAACTTTCAGTTTTAAGGAAATATTAAATCAATTCTCTTAAGTAAACATTTTGATGTTTACAATGGCATTGGCTCTAAGGAAAACTACCGACATCATCTCTACCTCAAAATGGATTATGCGAAGAGGTTATATTTTTTCTATGATTTACTTCCCTAGTATTTTTTTAATGAAGCTTTTTAATAATAACTTATTAACTATATTTCAGGCTGCTTATCCTTCTCTACTTTACCTGAAAAAGCAGAGGTCACAGAACAATCTGAAATTGATGTAAAGCGGCGTTCTAGCCGAAAACCAATCAATCCTATTTTAGAGCACAGACATAAATATCCTGAGTTTCTACCTGATCCGAACCCTAAGTGGAGAAACAGTCTTCGTGAGAAACTGGAGAGAGCCGATATGTTAAAAAGAAGAAATCAAATTGACATACCTGAATTTTATGTTGGCAAGTGTCTTTAGTGTTCTTTTACTACATACAATAATTGTTTATAAACCTCGAAACTGTTTTTGTGGTCTATAATTTCAGAATATTTTTCTATTTGTCTTTTTTATCAAATTGTTTTCTTCACACAACTGTTTCAGTAAAATAACCTGCTAAGATTGTATAATAATAAATAGGCTACATAAAAAATTGAATTTATTAAGCCTCTTTTATAATAAGTTGTTACGATTTTGAGCTTTATTAATTTATTTATCTGTTATGTAATGTAGTGAAAATGAATTTTTTAGGATCAATTCTTGCTGTCACCATAACCGATTCCCATGCTCAAAGCAAGACCAACAGGTTTGTGGGCATATGCATTGAAAGAAAAGGATGTGGACTTCGTGCAGATTTTACTCTTAGGAATGTTGTAGATCATCAGGGAGTAGAGGTTTGTTATAAAATTGACTCAAATTCTATGAATATGAAAATAATAATTATAATAGTTTAGTAAAGTATGTTATGGTATGGCATTGATGATTAACATTTTCATCCTCTGTTATAAAATAATGAATAAAAATAGTTTTTTTTTAAATGGAATATCTTTAATCAAAATATCACATAAGAAAATGGTATTTTTTTTAACAAACCATCATTGATGATTTACAAAAGTTTTAAAAACAAATGTAAGAAAGCTATCTCCTTTTGCTAGTAAAAACTGTTATAGCATGTTTAACAAGTGTTGTAACATTAGATGCATGTATACATTGCACTATTTATATGGAGCATGTGCCCAGTACAATAGTGAAATACAGACATATGCCTGTAATAATAGTTGTGTATATATAAATAAATAAATTTTAATATACTCTATTCCATCTCTTTATTTATTATTTAGTCTACAAGTGATCATTCAGAGAGCCATAAGGATCACCATTATCTATTTTCACTATTTAAAAAACATGTGACTGTAAAGAGAATTCTTTTTTTTAATTACAAAATTAAATGTATTTTATAGGTGAGGTATGATCTTTATGACCCAACCATTCATCAGATTCAAGTATTACGTCTTGAGAAACGACTTGATGATAAATTGTTATATTTAAGAGATGCTCTGCCTGAATATAGTACATTCCCATTTGATATGGATCCCGAAATATTACCAGAAGGAACACCTGTGCCAATCAACCCTGTTCAAGTATGTACTATTTCTTTTTTTATGTGTCATTTTTTTTATCACCTTTACTTTTTTATATAATGCATACCTGAATAACCATGGAAATCATCTTCATAAATTTTCTATTTGCTTTACTGAATTGTGCCAAACAAGTATTACAAGTTAGTTACTAAGATTCTATGTTTGTCTTCAGGTACAACTGAAACCAAAACCTTGGTTAGAAAGATGGGAAAGGCAAGAACTCAAAGGTGTTTCCAACATCGAGGAACATTTGAAAGAAAAAGATAGGGTTAGGAGAGAGCTTAGGAAGAAACCTTGGGAGAAATATGACTTAATGCTACAGTATAGGTATATATGGATTTAAGCTACATAAAACATAGTAGTGTATGAATATGTTTATTTTTATTTCCATTCAATACAATTGTAGTATATTAATCATTAATGCCTCTTTTTAGGAAAACTATACCAATGGAAGAGCAAAGTGAGATTTGGAGTGAAGTTTACAATCAACTAAACCAGTTACAAGTCCAAAGAAAGAAAGTCTCTAGGAAACGCACATATAGTACACCAAAAACACAACTTGGTTGAGCAGATCTAATGTGTTAATTATAAGAAAATATGTAGTTAAGTAAATATAATGTCTTTAAATAGCAGTGTCCTTATATTGTTTGATCCCTACCTGTATTAAAAATAACCATTTATTTAAAATAACTTTACTGATAGCTCTTTTTTGACCTTTATATATACATGAGTACTTTTATTTGATTTTTACAGAAGAATCATATAACTCACTGACTGGGAGGTATAGTAAAACAAACTGAGGGACTGATAGCCCTGATTGCTAGCATTGTATCATGTCAGGCCTCCACTGGTTAACTGATGAGATTTCTTGTTTATCCCTCCATCGTTGAGTGGAATTACGTAAAATTATTTTTGGCTTTTTACTTCAATTTATTCGCTTTCATTCAGCAAGAAATTTCGTATATATTCTGTTTCGATTTTACTCTTTGTAATAATTTTAAATCCACTTTAAAATTAGATATAATTGAAACCCTATAGCGAAAATTCTGTATGTAGTTTGATAGCAATATATAATAATAATACATATTATTTACATAAGTACTAACGGAATTCTGCGGAAATAAGAATGTGCGAATGAAATGTTGTCTATGGACTCTATGGTTGATGGGTGCCATTATTCAAACGAGAGAGATGTAACAGATGTACGAAAAAAAGTAATTCCTTTTAGGCATACAACATAATATATAATAATTGATTAGGTAGGGTATCTTTAATAAATATAATTATAATGAGTATATTTTTCGAACACTGAAAGTCTTGACATTTGTAGGGAAAATAAAGTTGTCAACTGGCAACACTGCGTACTCCACGAATATTCGACCACCTGTACTGTGTTTTTGTTCGTGATTACTTTATATCAAACTTTATTTGTTGACTTGTAATCAGTGTTTATAATAAACATTAAATGTGAATTTGTTAACTAACGGAGTTGCCAAAGTTATTTCAAGTGTATTTGATTTTAATCTGTGTTATAATTAATTTGGTTTATTGCTTGCACATCATTGCAGTGTCACCTGTCGCCGGTGAGTATTGTTTATATGCATGAAATTGTCAAAAATGTGACTGAAATGTATCTTAAACAAGGTTTTTTATTATAATATGACAAGAAAAGTATCTGTTACAGTACATGTACCTCGTATATAAATAAAAATAGTAGAACCGTTACGTTCCACTACGATTGTACTGATGTTACTGCAAATTTATCGCTACTGTTGCCTGACCAAAAGTAGTTCCGGGAATTTATTGATTATGCGTCATACAATTTGTTAGGACTTCATTTAGAATTAATACTGCATATAATTCACAGTACAAGAGCTGCTCCTATATCATTAAATTATAGGTATTTAATATGAATAATATCTAGTGGAAAGAAAAAATATTATATTCCAAAAAAATTTTAAATGTTCGTTTTCTCAAAAATTATATAAAATAATACGATTCTATTATTATAGTTACAATATAGTACTAATCTACTTTTTTTAAACAATTTTTAAATTTGATAATATATTATTAATTTATTCAATGTTTTTAATTTAAACACATTGGCATATATTAAATTTGTCTTATTCATCAGCATGGGGTAGCCCATAGCTCACCACTATGTAAATATATATACACTATAATAATAAATACATAACATATTTTACTTGTATTTTTACAGTGTAATATAACAAGAGAGGAATTATAGTGGAATTTAAGCTCCCATCCCAAATCACATCCTATTATTTGGACCTTGTTTTGAATTCTAACTTTGCTAACCGAATAATATTAAGAGAAGATTTTTGCTACTTATAGCATCAAGTATGGTAACTGTTGTGATCACAAAAATAATATTGTTGAATTTTTCATTGTATATTGATTGTTATAGAGTGTATTGTTTATTTTAAAATGACTTTATCAAAAAGTGTGCTACTCAGCCATACTAATCTTAATTAATGCGGTTCCCTTCTAAAAACCATTGCCATTAATTCTTGGTGAATTTGTCACAATGGGCTAACTAACCAGACTTTATCCGCATCCTATAATCCTGTTATGGTGCATCCCTTGCTGCTAGTGCAAGTAACAGGCTTGCATTTTCCATTTGAACAAAAAAAACCCTTGACATGATTCATGAAGTTGTTGAATTTAATAATAGTAGTTATTATCTATTTATTTTTATCTTAATGTAACAAGTTTATTACATTGTGTTTCAATCTTAAAGCATGTGTGATTTCACTGTAACTTTAAAAATTCAGGTATATTACCCTAGGAAAAATCTATGACCCAAGTTATTAAAGATGTATATCCTAGTAAATTGTAGTTTTGTTTTCTTGTAGTGTAGGATTAACAAAGAATGTATTTTTCTTCTTAGGCTCCCTAGATGTGGTCCTGTGTTACAGTTTGAACTACACAGCTTTCTTACATTAGCTGACCCAGGCAACTTTGTCTGCGTCACAATGTCCCAGTTTTTGCAACAGTTTATTGCAGTTTTTGCTCTAATTGGCCATACCCCTATGTAGCTAGGAAGTAGCAAGGAGCATTGTGCCTAGCCTTCCTCAATAAAAGGTTATCCAAAAATAAAAACATTTTGAAATCAGTAGTACTCATCAATAGGTTATAATTATCAATATTCAAACACACAAAATTTACGTCTTTATGATATTAATATGGGTTATCAACAAAATTAATTTAAATAATATTGATATCGTCTTGAAACGCCAAGTTCCCACAAGTCACGCGTTCAAAGGCCGTTGACCTATAATCCCCTACCGCGTACTTATTAACAGAATTACATAAATATTACTTAAAAATAAATATAATAACATGCTTATACAGATAAATGTATCTTTGTTACTACCACTTTACTGTTTTGTTTTATTACCTAACGTTATATATACTTCTATTGTTGTCATTGTTTTTAACCTGTTATACGATCGGGATATAAATACAAAAGTCAAAAGTAAACAATAGCGTGTATGGGTAGGACATATCAATAAGTCCTTGAATTATATGTTGCGCCCTGGAACGAATGGGAGGTATAGTTTCGTAAAACATTTTTTTTTGCATTTATATGCTATACTAAAATATGTATATTCCATATGATAAATAATGATGTACTGCCACGTCCTAGTCAAACAGGTCGCGTCCGTTACATAGTGTGTAATAAAAAAGGGAATTCCGCATTTTTACTCCTTCATTAAAAAAAATTGTCTTTTGGTAGTAGGTACACCCGTCTGCGGTTTTCGCATGGAAGTCATGGTACATGGGAGAACAAGTTGTCAAAAGTATGTTGGAAGAATTTTTAATATTATTTGCAAGTTTTATTGCAAATACCTAATTTGCAATTGTGTGCGTGTGCGTGTGCGTGTGCGTGTGCGTGTGCGTGTGCGTGTGCGTGTGCGTGTGCGTGTGTGTGTGTACTTTCTGATGGATGATAATGGAATGATGCTCCTGCCACTTTTGCTAACGGTTTACACTGGCGGAGCACTAGTGGAAAATGATAAGATGAGCATGAAGTCAGGTCAGTTAGCCCATCGTAGCAAATCGCAATTTACCACGATGGTTTCTAAGGGAACCACATAAAGACATTTAGACAACAATGTCGACCAGACGTATGACATGTAATGTACATTAGCAATGGGATTGTTAGTTTACATTACAAACAAACCCCCAAGTGTGTATATAAAAAAAATTGAACTGTTTTACAAAAATGTATCGTAGAGAGTAAACGAAATTGGCGGTTTCGGAATATTCCCACTCGTCAAGTTCTTATTAATAAAATATACTTCATTATGAACAGTGTCACGAAATTATTTAAATGTACAGGAAAATAGCGAGTACCACGTGGGTAGGTCACCTTCCGCGTTTGCGGTCAGCTTAATGTTAGAAACTCTGATCTCTGAACAAGTTGGTACACCACTTTCTAGGTCTAATTAGTCGTTTATCCAACATTTATTTGAATACTACACATATTTATAATATTCTACAGAAGTAGGAAATTGTGTAAGAATTTCACGCATAAGTCGTAGTAGGTTTAGAAGTAGGTATAACGACAACATAACCAAACTAGTAATCTTGTCTATAATCCATAACAGTTTCTCAAAATTTATATTGCAACATCTGGGAGCAGGGAGAGGAGGAGGAGGCGAATCATTTCTTGGGAAATCGTGATTAAAAAAAGACAACTATTTGTCGATCTTTCACTATAATAAAAAAGCAAAATTTTGAAATTTTCTAAAGTAACAAAAATATTTAACTATGGAGGAGGTCGTTTATGCAAACTTCTGTATAGATTATCAAAAAATAGTTAAAAAATAGTAAAAAGCATTGTTTCCGCCCGGGATCGAACCGGGGACCTTGTGCGTGTGAAGCACACGTGATAACCGCTACACTACGGAAACCATGTCTCCTGTTTGCGAAAGTACGGTAGTTAAGTCAAGTCAGTGCTTACATTTATTTATATTTCTCAGTTCTTGTTATCTAATCTAATTAATACATATAAAATTCTCACGTCACAGGTTTCGTGTTTATACTCCTCCGAAACGGCTTGCCGGATTTTGTATGTATATTCAGTAGGTCTGAGAATAGGTTTATAACTAGTTTTTATACTCCTAAGTGTTAAGGGTGGCTTACCCCTAAATTTTGTTTTTCATATTTCGACAATTTCGTTTTAGTTTTATCCAATATGTGGCATTAAAAAATACATACAGCCTTAAATTTTCACCCTTTTACCATCAACCTCTAATTTTAATAGCGATTTTAATTTATATGGTAAAACAACTTGCGGGATCAGCTATTTTTGTATATACCTATATATGTTCTATGTTGTATATATGTATGTTCTTGTTTGTCTGAAATAATAATAAGAATAACCTTTGCTACGATTCCTGCAAATTGTTGTAGTTTAATGGATAGAGTCGTAGTCGACAGTTGTATTCCCCAGCAATTTGTCGCGTTGGCTTGTTTATTACTGAATTACATAGTCTAATGATATAATTAACAATTCAAGTCTAATGATATAATTAACAAAAG